TTATTCTTTGCTAGGAGTCTGCTCTGTGCTGTGTTTAGTCTTGTATATAAATAGGTAAATAGGACAGACCATGATTGTGAATTAAATTATTATGGCCTGTCCTACTGTCCAGTAATGAAGAAACATAATAAAGCAATAGAATAACAAAAAGATTACTCTGGCTGCTGTGGGTGGAAGATGGATCAGAGATTATCACACTTGTCCAGGAATTAAAGATAATAGAGGCTTGGATTAGAATAGTGGCAGTAGAAATGGGGGGGAAGGGAAGCGTATAGATTTGGGTTATATTTTGGGAGCAGAAATGATAGGACACTTGCAAGTGAATTAGATATGAGGGAAGAGAAAGTAGATGAGAAATCAAGGATGGCTTCCAGATTTCTGACTTGAGTAGTTGGCTAGATGAGGAAACATCTTCCAGATGGTCTTGTTCTATTCAAAGTTAGTACCAGTGACTTGGATGAAGGCAGATTCAAGATATGAAGCTTGATGAGGTAGTAGATACATAGGTAGAAAGGATCAACAATTTAAAATATATCACAAGACTTGAAAGATAAGATGGAATAGAAATAAGTGTGGAGTCCTGCACTTCAAAAAGTACATAGGCTAGAACAAAGAAGATTAGCCTGATAGCGGTTCACATTAGAAGCTCAATAAGAATGAAAACTATGACATAGCTGTCATAAAAACGAATACTAAAATAAGTTACCTTTAAAAAGCATGACATCCAACCCAAATTAATAATTTTACTGTGCCTTGCACTGTTTGAACCAAAACTGATGTGACAGGATTATGCTTTTCTTGGCACACAGCCATTGAAAAGGATGGGTGAGAGAACCTGGGCCATGACTGAGATGTAAACAGCTTGAACACTCCATCACAGAATGAACATCTGAAAGAATTAAAGATGTTTAAGTCAATGATCACCATCAAATGGACCGTTAGGTGGAAGAAGGTTTAGATTTCAAGTAGATTCAAACAGGTCCAGAGAGTAAAATGAAGACCCAAGAACAGAAATAGCCTCAATAGTTTCAGCTCAGCCTCACTTCCAATGCACAGTACTTTGCAGAAAAAGGATGGGCTGTATATGTGTCCCATGTCAGAGGACACTTTGTAGACCTCAATGCTTATGTGTGGGCATGGAGCATAGAGGTCTCCTGTCCTGGGTGAAAAGCTGGACAGTTTCCGAAGGGCTCTCCCTAATCTGGAAGTCCAGAATTCTGTTTCCTAACAAGCCTCTTTCTTCTCAGGGAACACAACATCTTCTAGGATGTCATTGTACCACATCTTCCAAAGTGTTGCTGACACAAGGTTGTCTAAAGTTCCTTGGCTACATTCTTCACAAGACTAACTCATACTACTGCTTCCCAGGGCCCAAGTTCAGTTACATGTTTAGATCCCTTTCTCTTCAAGGCTGAACATAACTCTGAAATAGCAACACCACGACACCATGGCCTGTCCTATTTACCTACTTACATACAATACTAAACACAGCACAGAGCAGACTCTTAGCTAAGAATAAGTGAACTTACACATATTAGAATCCCATTCGTAAGTCATGGGAGACTATGCCAACTCAACTGCCTATTGCTGAGGTTTAGTTCTCATTGAAACATGCCCTTATACCACAAGTTTTGCTATGCCCCAGCCATAGCAAAACTTGCGGTCAATGGTTAGCACTGTGAATGCATACACGCTATCCAAATGAAATGAAAAAATGAATCACTCATGTTCCTCTTAGCACAGGAATACCAGCTTATGTTTCTCTTCCAGGAAACAACAATTATATGCACAAATATTTAATTGAACAAATAGGAGCACAGTCATGCTCAAAATAGAAATATTCAAATAAGTCATTATTTTCTCTCGAATCATTCCTCCTGCTCTTTTTTTTATTATTGAATTTCTTTGGAAGCAAAAATCTCCTACCTCAAGAGGGAATAAATTACAACTCAGAGGATACTAGGAAAATATTTAAATTAAAAAAAAAAATAAAGTTGATTACTTTAAAATTCTTAGAAGATCATTATTTTTATGGTGACATTGGTTAACGAAATCTAGTAAGTTTCAGGTATACAATTTAACTGGAAGATCATATTGACATGCTATTTTTAAATTTATTAGGGTGACATGGGTTAATAACATATAAGTTTCAAGTGTACAATTCTATAATATATCATCTGTATATTTCATTGTGTGCTCACCACCATACATTAGACCTCCTTTACCCTCTTCACTCTCCTCCCATCCCCCTCTCCACACTTCTTGTCCATGTGTCTGAGTTTATTTTCTTTTAGATGTCACGTTTTCTGTGCCTCTGACATCTCTGACTGGATCCTTTTAAACTATCCTAGGATCTGTTATAGCCAATTAGACAACTTATTGCTTCTTTCTAAGCATCTAAACAAAGAGGTATACTTTTCTAAATTTCAGTGCCATTAATGCTGGAATCTGTTATAGCCTAAAGTAGTCTTAGGATTTTACATACAGAATTTGCTCATTTTGTAGAAAATGATTTGTTTTTATCAGTTTTCAGTCTTTGGAGGGAAGATCTATATTTTGAGAGAGATAGAGAGGAGAGTCTTCAAGGGTTGGGTGGTTAAAAGACAAAGGCTGTCAGACTCTCACTACAGGTCCTTTTGCCTGGGGTGCTGTGTTATGTCTCTTAAATATGAGAACAAGAGAGTTTTCATCACTGTGAGAGGACCCCATTCTGCTGCTGTTAGCGTAGGGAGGAGGAGAAGTGAACTCCCTACTAAAATCTCCCCATCAACACTTCTCCCACATGAAAAAGAGGTGGTAGGAGTTTATAAAGAGATCCTTTACCTCTTGTCAAGGGCCACAGGCCAGCTGAGCATCATCTACAAAGAGATTCGGCCTAAGAGAATGTGCTAAGGGGCAACCATGTGCAAGAACCACGTGGTCCCAGGAGCTACTAGCTGAGGGAACAGAAGTTTCCTTAGAATGTTTCTTTTGCTAACAAGTACCCAGTTCTCCCAGACTTAGGGCCTTTGGTTAATTATTACGCAGATGTTAGTAATTATCCCTTCTGCTAGGCTCTTAGCTCCTACAAAGTCATACTCTTTATTCATTAGCCTGGGGCTGGGTGGTAATATCCCCTCTTTTCCCCAGGTCAGTCCCAGGAGAATTGACTCAACAGGGTACATGGTCACTCTAGAACAGCACATGACTAATGCTGTTGGGAAGCTCATGGTATTTTGTGTCACACAGAAATTTTCACATACACATGTAGAAGCTGCCACTTAGTGTTCAGTGCCCCTAAAAACATGAGTGAACTTGGAGTAAAACTCAAAGCTTACTTCTTCAACATAAATATTGTTTATCTTATAAGATGAAAGAAACATCATACCACAATTGTATCCTGTATCTTATTCTCTGGTAGAGCAAATCAAATTATGTTCCATTACATATCCTAAAACTACTGGGTTGGTTAATAAATGCTTGCTCTCAGTTTCTTATATCCCTCAACCAAAATAGATAGTAAGGGACTTTTCTTCTTAATCACCCTCCTACTTAGGGATCTCAGCTAAGTCAATATACATACATACGTACGCACATACATACATACATACATACATATATCCGTACATACGTGTGTGTGTGTGTGTGTGTGTGTGTGTGTATGAATGTATTTCTTTAGTCATATCTTGACTTAAATTCCCCTTTATTAGCTGGTCCCCTTTATTTATTAACCTTCACCCAAAGTGCTAGGTTTTCTTTCTCCCAGTATCTGTTACCTCTGCTAAGCTCTGTCCCTCTTATGTTTTCTGTCCAATCTCTGGCAGCCCATCTGCTCTACAGTTGACCGTTCTATACTCCCCTTTTATCTCTTCATGGCTATACTGAACATAGGAGAAATAAATTGCTGTAATACCTAAGAGCTAAGGAGCAGTCTTTCTGCCTGGGGCAAGGGAAGGCACCTGAGGAAGCGACATCTGAGCTAGGTCCAAGGGCAGTGGTTCAACAGGTGTGCAGGGGGAGAAGGGACTGGGAAGAGACAGCCTGCACAGAGAGACCTGTATGATGTGCCAAGTACCTGTTAATAGCACTTGCAAGAAAAATAATTGCCTTAATTACTCAAACACAGAATCAGTTGCAGTAATATATTGTTCTAGGGATGTTTTTCCCTCCATCAGGAAGTGAGTGGTTTCATCTGGGGGACAAGAAATTTTTTCTTTGTAATAAATAGGCTTTATTTTCAATTACTATGTTCTCTTTAACCAAATTATTTAGAAACAACCTATGTAATCTCCCACATCATTTTAACTGTGCTTTTTCTTGTGGAGTGTTTGGTAATGAGCCAGATGTACTAAAACAAAAACATGAGTTCATTATTCAAAAAAGTATTTTCATTGTACTCGATCATTGAAATTTTCCCATCAATTAAAAGAGATACTTATTCTTTTAAGAGGAACTAGGTGCAAAAAAAGTGAATTATCTCAGTGGTCTGATGTATAGACTCAAAAATAGCCATGAAGTAATTAGATGAAAGGAACTTAAGACATCATTTGACTTGTGTCTCTATATTATAGTGGAGAAATCTAGGGATGGGAGAAATGAGCTAGTTGCCCAAAGTCACATGGTCGCTGACCTAAGGGTCTCTGAAAGCCTTTCCCTAATCCCCACAACCCTTTCTCACACTTTCTTACTTGGATGTAACATAAACGGCACCACAGACTGCAAAGCTTTCTTTCTAAAGCTATTTTAACGTCATCCCAACTGAAATGGTACCAGAGAGCTATTTAGGCTTTGAGTTACGTAAAGGATTTGAACCGTTAGTTATTCAGATTCTAATGAGCAGTTCTTTATTTGGTAGAATGTTTTTGTCCAGGATTTTAAGGAGGGTGTGACTAATAGGTTCCAAAATTTGGATACAATCAACAAATAGCGTTAACCATATAAGTAAACCTTTGTCCTTCTAAAATGTAAGGTCAGAGTATGTTCTTTTATAATTATTACAAAACTTATTTTCTTTGCTTTAGGATACTCTTGTCTTCAGTGACACTGCTGTCTATATATTCAATAAACCTTCTGTTGATCTGTTCAAAGGAAACAGGTAAACTGATAATATGTCTAATTTTGTTAAAGCCAGAGTGAATGATTTTGATGCTAATATTGTGAACAAATTGATGCTCTCCCTGTTCAGCAACTTGATTATTAAAGAAAAAGAGTACTTTGACATACAGTCACTGTAAGACCTATAGTAGAAGTTACCTAGAGATATTCATACAGCAACATATAAATTAAATTGTCATGAACAATGAGCAATAGTGTTGTCTTTTAATGGAACCCACAATTATGCCTGTTTTTCTAGTTTAAGATGACTTCATTATAAGGGCTTTGGTGTTTCCTTGAGTCTTTATAAATTCAGAACACAGATCCCATGTTTTTATATTATAGCCTCTGAGTTTTAAGGTAAACAGAGCTTTCATTCTCTTTTGTACATATTCCAAGGAGAAAATGCTACTCCCAAGTCAATGTGGGATTGAGTGTGCTATAAAAAGATTTCAAGTTCTCTGGGCAGTATAATACCTGAAGTGTTTATTTTCTATTCCTGGGATATGAGATTATGTTTGTAATAGTTTGACTTTTACATGAGCTAAAACCACGTTGGCCAACTATTACTGTATATAGATGACTGCATTTAACTGGAACATTTTGTGATAAATTGAAGATCTAACCACTGTCTAGTTTACAGTCTTACGAGAAATTAAACAAAGCTTTAATTTAGCCTGACTCATATTGCTTTCTGTGGACCTTTTGAAAACGTGAGCCGAACTGTCATAAGGAAATATAAACACTTTTTAAAAAAATGAATGGTTTAGAATCTTAGTATTTATTGAGATGAGCTAATTGAATACTTTAGAATTTTGCTATAGCCAAATTGTTCTTTAGACAGACTTATCTACTACTGTCTTTTGTGAGTTACATACCTTTGAACTAAATTTTAGAATTTTGATGTTGTGACTATTACATGTTTCTAAGCTTGTTATTATATTTAGGACACTTAAGGCATCGGTGGAATATTATTAGGATAATTCTTGTTAGGCTAATCAGTGCAGGTAATTAATTCAAAAAGAACCTTTTGTCACAACTATCAGAATTTTTATTTTTAAATCAAATCTTTATTTTAATGATACTCACCAAACCTGAGAATGAGATCAGAGTGGGAATTTCCCCCCATTAAAGTAAAAAGCCTACTTAAGGTACTGAAAAAGAAGCCTTATGACCTAATAGTTTAATTATAATGCTTTTGTAGCCAATCTGAAAAAGGAGAAACGGTGGTCATGTCTGACATTTAAAAATGTTAAGAGGTTGTTTTATAATGAAAATGCCTTAACCCTTGCAAAGCCAAGAAGACTATTTATGTGATTTTGAGAAAGACATGAAATAACTTGGGTAATAGTCAATAGCATGATGAAATTTTGACTATCTTTTTTAACTGTTAGAGTCCTGCCATTTCTTGTATTCTCAAATATGATTTTTAAATAGGCTGCATGGTTTATGAAAAGCTGGGAGAACAGGTCTTTGGCACCACAGGGAAGTTTGTAATCTTTGGAGCCACCTCTCTGCAGAACACTGGAGGTAAAAACAAACAAACAAAAAAACTGCTTTTCTATATGTAACTTTAAAGTAGGCGAACAGTATTATCTTCTCTAATTCTGGTGGTTGGGTGACCACATGAATTTTAACCAAATTCAAGAAGTTAGCATTCTCATTGCCAGAATGGCACATGGGAAGTAAAACAGAAACAGCAGTCACTTATTTAAAACCAAAGATGCTGCGAGAGTTTCTAAAGCTGTCTTTGTGTCTTGTCGAAAGTTAGTCTAAGAACAAGCTGGTAACCTTTTATATAGCTTGCAACATGAGCCTTAGTATCTTCTTTCTAAAAATGTTCTCATTTTCCTCTAGCAATGCTGAGCTACCTCTTCATAGTAAAAAATGAACTACCCTCTGCCATAAAGTTTCTGATGGGACAGGAAGAGACATTTTCGTAAGTTATAGTCCATTTTTTTAATAGGATAACTAAAATGTTTTTAACTTAAATGTGGGCTAACCAAAGTTTTTGTTTTATAAAAATTGCAGAAACAAAGTTTTCCCTAGCCTCTTTTTGTTTGTTTGTTTGTTTATTGTTTTGATAACAAATTTCTCTGGAATTATATAAATGAGGGAAACAGGGAAAACCATTTGAATATGAACATTTAAAGGTAGATTCATCTGTTATGTTGCAAATGGTAGATGCTGCATTTTTCTAAAGGCCTGAAATCTATATCTGATTTTTGTGAAATAAAACAGATATGGAGTATTTTTAACACAGAAGCGGAACATACAAGGAAATTAAGACCCTAACCTCTTTCTTAAAGAAGGGACACAGCATTCTGGGAGCAAAATTTACATGAGTCAACCTCATTAAAGATGTAGCTAACTCTGGAAACTGTTGCAGCTATGTTTGGCACACCTGTTACGTTTTGACTCTTTCTTATTTAACAGTTCTTGTCAGTCTTAGGTTCTCTGTTTTCTCTCAAGGGAGACTCATAGAAGGCACAGTTCTTAGTGTTCTGTAATCAGGATTCAAGGTCAAATACAAGAGATTACGAAGAAAGCAATGCCTATCTGCGGTGACTTGTTTTTCGATGATATTAGCCTAACAAAACCAAAAGGATTTTTCTTTTTAAATAATTGATAAGACAAATTGTAATCTGACAGAATGCAATGTGTTCATTCAGCTTTGAAACCACATAAATAATTCAGAGGAATGCCACATTTAGCCAATGGGAGAGGAAAAGAAAACAACATCCCTTCTTCCATCACATGGGAGAAAGACAAAAGTAAATGAGTCGTGGTTGGGTTAAAGTGTTTGGATAAAATTTGAATAATGATAAAAAATTAATGTTAATAATTAATAATAAAAAATTAATTAAAACATACCGAGAAATTTTACACTTAAGAAAAGAAATGTCATTTTCTGAGAAAATATGACCTAACCACTTAAATGTCTTTCAGAGCCTGGTATGTGGATGGCCGTGTTCTGGTGGTGATAGTTACCTTTGGCATAATTCTCCCTCTGTGTCTCTTGAAGAATTTAGGTGAGGAAAGATCTTGTTCTTATCATGGTCTCTACAAGTGCCCAGATGAATCAGAAACCTAAAAAAATGAACAACTTTGTTCTCTACTTTCACTTGTAGGGTAAAAATTAAGTGCATGATAAATTACAAGTATTAATCAATCTCAACTTTAATATGGTCAGTAAGTGACTTCCTAAGCAATCCTTCTACTAAGCTGTGGAGGGGAGAAGGGAGGTTCTGTGGCCAGCAACAGATAGTGCTGTTTCCAATCACACGACTTACAGGCTATTCAGAGAAAAGTCCAGAAAAAGGAATTCTCTTTATACATGGTCTCCAATAACTTGATTATTTAAACAAGTAGATTTTAAAATCTTATATTTATATCCAAAAGTATAATGAATCACTCTTAAATTATCAGTCTATCCAATCTCAGTTATTTGCCTCATTGAAAGGGGGAGAGAGAAGTGAAAAGTCAAAAGTGGTGAACAATCTCTAAGTCACATCTACTTGGTTTTGACTTTCAGCGTGTGTGCTTGTATTCGGAGTTAAGAATGCCTGATGTTATGGGAATTTCGTACATTGAATAATGTAGCCACACTGCTATCTGGTCCAAAGCCTCTAAAGGCAGATATTTAAAATTCTTCCCAAAATGATTGCTAATCACAGTTTTTTGTTTTGTTTTGTATGAAAAATATCAAGCCTCTGTAGCTGTTCTGGAAGATCTATAAATAGATTTTCTAAACTACTTAAAGAAATCTGTGTTTAGGCTTTTCAATGTATATATACATAGCTCATTTCAGTTTAAGTAGAGAAGGGCTCTTCTCCCCCAGGGATGAGAATAGTGCAGCCCCCCAGAGGCCACTTAATTCTTCCTTTCTGGAGATTGCAGTGGTTGGAGATCTCCCAGGCATTCTAAGGGGAGCAAGGTAAAGATACCCAGATGCTCAATTTGTCCCTAGAAATCACCTCATCTCCTCTGTGCATGCCCTTCACCTGGGAAGAGAAATATTGTGGCTGATATTCATTATGCACACAATAAATGCATAATAAAGAATAATGGATATGGCCATAAGTATCCATCAGAGTATAGCAACAGAGACCTATGTCTAAATTTGGGAGGCTCTTTCCCCTGGATTCTGGGAATCTGTGTTCTCTAGTGTGTCAGGGAGAACTGGAATCAAAACACATAATGTTTTTAATTAAAGCTGCCCTTTTTGCCAAATAAAGCAGCACTATCAAATAATAAATAAACCTTGTATTCAATTTAGCATGTATGTATATTATTGGAACCCCAAACTATGCTTGAAAAAATACATTGAAAGAAATAAGGTGATGGATGACATAATAATTTTTTGAAATAATTTTTTAAAATCTTTTTTTAGGGTATCTTGGCTATACCAGTGGATTTTCCTTGAGCTGTATGGTTTTTTTCCTAATAGTGGTAAGTGTTGGTTGAAATAATTGGTTGGTTTTGTCATAGTATAATGTCATGCAACAGTTATTCATTATTTGGATTTATTTAATAAAGTCTATATAGATTTTCCTATATTTTTTAATACCAGGTTATCTACAAGAAATTTCAACTTTCCTGCAATGTTCTGGAGCTAAATTCAACAAACTCTGCTGCTAATTCAACAAATGCTGACATGTGTATGCCAAAATATGTTACCTTCAATTCAAAGGTAAGTTTTCTTAGCCTTTAAATATAAAAAAGAGCATTTTTATTAAGGACATTATAGTTCTCATAGTTGTAGTAATTACGCTATTTTGAATGTATTTGCTCTCAAAAGAACACGATACCACTGCTTCCAAACTCAATCCATTTAGAGACCTTTGAGAAATATACAAATATTATATTTCATGCTCCCTCTTACCCAGTTTACATGTAGGACAAACTTAAGCATTCTCTGTGAAAATCTCTTTCTCAATAATTATCTCAGCTCTTCTCTTCCTTATATATCTTTAAAAACAGATAAATAACATCTTTAGCCCACTGCTTCCTATCTGGTGGTGACAGAAAGGGAGACCTCAAACTTCTCCAGTGTGCACAGTTGAAATATAGATATCACCACAAATTGGCACTTAAGAAACTTTCATACTATTGAGATATTGTTAATAGTATGGGGAACAGTGGGCTATAGAACCATTTAGTCTGGGTTTTAAATCTTCAGGCAAGTTACCCAACTCCATGTATAAAAATGAATATTCTGTATCTTCCAGGTTTTTTTTAAGAATGTACCTGGTACAGTGCTTGGTGGAATTAGAGCATGAGAAATGCTACTTTTCCTTCCTTCTCTGCCAGGTTCTTCTTGCATAAGAAGTTATATTGAGTTTGAAAGTCTTATCTAAGAAAACTAAATAGATCTTTCTCTTTCTTTTTAACTCTAAGAATAAAGCCAAAGTAGTGAATATGGAAGTAATTTTTCTTTTTAGATGCCATCTTTTAAGTCTGATTTGATGAACCCCATATAGAGCAAAGAGCAGTACAATAGAGGTGGAAGTCCTAAGCATGTCACCTAACCTGTTGGAAAGAGCCAGAAGAACAGCAGTGGTCCGTCTTCTTCTCAAAGTTGTTGTAGGGACTCAGCAAGATAATGTAGGAAATGTGCTCTGTGACTGGCTAGTGCTATATAAATACGGGTCATGTTATGCCTGGAGTATGTAAAATACGCTGTAGGTGAGCTGAATCTAAAACTCCTCTGTGCCAAGTGCCTAATGTCTCAAGCTAGATAAGCTCTCTTAGAAAAGCTGCTCTTATTTTAGATATCAAAGCCCTCCTAATAACCAAATAATCCAGGGATTCCGAAGAGCTGTCAGATAAAAAGATAGCTTAGAAATACTGGAGCTGTATAATTTTATGTAAAAATACCTTTTCTTAATATTTATTTTTTTCTTTCAAATAGACCGTGTATGCACTACCAACTATTGCATTTGCATTTGTCTGTCACCCATCAGTCCTGCCAATTTACAGCGAGCTTAAAGAGTAAGAGATTTTTTTTTTTACCTTACGCATTTTATACCTCTCATTAATAGGTAACCAGACTTATGTAGTGAACCCCTACAGACTCAGCACCCAGCTTCAACATTTACTTTCTGCCATTCTTGAGCAAGTACTGTATTTTAAAAAAAAGAAAAAGAAAAAGAAAAAAGAACAAGAACAGGAAAAACCAGAAACCTGTAGTATATTTTGGCCGTAAATATAGCAAGTGGCCAACTATGTGAGCTTTTTTTCTTAATTTGGTTTTTCAAAAACTATATTACTTAGGAGAGTTCAAATAATTGTGTCACTTTATGTTCCTTGTGCTTATTTGGCAGGTAGATAATAACAATCTTCAGATTCATCTGTAAACTGCTAAATACATTGTATCTGACTTGCCTGTTGGTTTAGGTGGAAAAGGCTGGTAAATCAGGCAAAAAGAAATTAATTTTAAAACCACAAACCAAACAAGAGAATATTGTTCTTTATTTTAAACTATTAAGATGATTCTATGGATTTATTTTTGATTGATGTTCTAGAGAAAACTAAAGCTCTGCTTACAAATTCCCTCATGGGTTCCCTTTTGGCCTACTATTATCAGACTTTCTATATAAAAATAGTCATCATGGCACAGTCTTAAGCTCTGAAATTATATACAATATAGCTATCTATTTCCATTTTGAAACAAAAATAAAGCTTATTTCATTTAGCATTGAATTCACTCACGATTCTTCCTCTTTCATATTTAATTGATATAGATAAATTTGAAATATCTATGTCTACCTATCTAGGTATACATCAATGCTAACTTTATGATCCTATATTTAGGATATTTAAATATGTCTTTGGGATCTTTGTGATACCAAATTTAATAGTCCAGCTTTTAATTTGTAATTTTCTCATATGTGTACTTCTTAATTTTTCTTGTTTTTTCTGTTATGACACAACCAAATATGACTATCAATGGTCTATTATTGAAAACAAGTCTTGCAGATTGTTTGGGCAATTAAAGGAACTTAAAGATTCATCCAAACTCCAGAGTAAACCTGTCTTAAGAGATAGACCCCTCCATCATTGGAGCTGTGATCTTTTGGATACTTATTGCTTTGGAGACATACAGACTTCGAGGTGCATCTCTGGGGCTACTCAGTGAGAAAACTGGAACCTAAGAAGCAGTTTTAGCAACAGAACACTGAGGTCAAGTTCCAGCCCTGCCCCTGGCCTCTGGGTCTGGAAGAGCAGCATTTAAATTTATTCTGCCTTTTTTTCTTGTGTATGCTGGGTGTGGAGATAATATCAAACACAAATATTGAAAAATGCTCTCTGCCCTTCGGATGAGAACTCAATATTCTTTCAAAAGAATGGGGAAGAACACTCAAGGGATTGTTAGTTCCATGGATCTCTCTCACACACACAGTACCCATTCAATATAAGAGAAGTTATTCTAAACCAGTATAATTCCCCAGGGAAATTTCACCTAGTCAGATCTGCCCTACCCTGATAGAAAGAAAGTTAATATTAACACTTCCATGTTAAACACTGGTGCATGAATTCAATAACATCATTTTTAATTGTTCAAATTCCTTTATCTTTGTTTTTAGTCGATCACAGAAAAAGATGCAGATGGTTTCAAATATTTCCTTTTTCGCCATGTTTGTTATGTATTTCTTGACTGCCATTTTTGGCTACTTGACATTCTATGGTAAGTAATTTCTGTCAGTACATAAATGTAGAAGTTTGTAAGTAAATAGTAAAAATCAATATCAAAATAACTTTTAACATGATAGCCCCCAAAAAAGCAACCAATCTATCTATTGATTGATTTTTGCTGGTCTTTTTGTCTACTTAAAGCAAATGGCAATGGTTCCTTTACATATTCATGTAGACTATACAATGGAATAATTACTGAAATGATGTACTCTATTTTTTTCTCCTAATACTGTCCTTAAAAGAAACAGTATTTTATAAGCATATGACCTTTACTGAGGAAAGTTTGGAACGATATCAGAGAATTTCCTAATTGCTTTGCAAATTGGGTCAGATTCCATTAACAGAAAAGAGAGAGAGAGACAGATGTTGAAAGTGAGAAGGAGCAGAGTGCTACACTCATGACACTCTGCATTAATTAAAAATAAAATGCCTAATTGTTCACCAGAAGTTGGAGCCTTGCAAAGATTTGAAAGAATGACATAGAAAATTAAAAGGATTGTAATGTGAGGTGCAATGAGAAGCCATTGAAAGGAGACATGGAGGAAAGGCTTGATCTCTTGTCAAAGGAGTGAGCATTTTTGCTCTCAATGACTGCCATTCTTAGCTTTGGCTGTCTTTGAAATAACACTTTCTCAAGTTCAGAGTTGAGAAAAAGTTCTAAGTGGTACATAAACTAAATACTTAAAAAAAAACATAAAAGAAAAACTTATATGGAAGAGAAGAAATATTTCTTGATGGTGGTTAAGTTCCATTAGCATCTCTGTTGCTTGGCCACTGAAAGTTCAGATGTAAGAGGAGAGTTTGAAAGAGGCTCCAAATGACCTGCAGTCCACCCATCCACCTAGCAGGACTGTGGCTGTTTGGGGTTGTTTGATGAGTGGCACCAAGTGCGCGAAACTCTAGACTAGGGAGGGCTTTGTGCTCCAACCGTTGTTATTTTTAATCCCAGTTTATTCCTATGAATAATTTAGTATCTATTAAACATTCCCACTTTGTGTAGCTTCTTCTAGTGGTTGCTGTAAGTTCCCTTTAGTTAAAGTTACAGTGAACAGCGGGAACATGTCTCACACAGGGGATTTTTCTCTTCAACTCTATGAATTGTCTTAATTGACAGTTCAACACCCAGGTCATTGCTTTTCTTGGCCTTTGGTTTACAAATCCTTTGTTGTTAGTAAAAACTGATGTTTAGTGATGCGCTTTGTTTGTTTTTAACCTTTTCTGTCGTTTTAGAAACTGTGGAATCAAACCTCCTTCACAAGTACCAGAGTAAAGATGACATTCTCATCCTGACAGTGCGGCTGGCTGTCATTGTTGCTGTCATCCTCACAGTGCCGGTGTTATTTTTCACAGTGAGTAAAAGGCCTCAGTGCAATCTTGGAAAAGCTGAGGTCTCGCCTTTCCTTCTGCCTTCGGGAGCCTGTTCCAGGGAAAGCCTGTTACATGTAGCTTTCCTGCATCATTGAAACTGCAACAGGGAGAGATCCCAAGACTCAGTTAAGACTATTCAGAAGGAAAGTGGGATCGGTGAGATAGGGTGGCCTTTGATGGAATGACTCTTAATTCTAATTAATCTGTCCCTCTTCTTTACAGAGAAATATAGGTAGAATGTTTAAATTTCGATCATACACAATGAGAGAATATAGAAGGACCAGGAGAGAACACCCAGCCATAGATAAAACAAAAACAGAAAATATCCCCCCTATGGAAAAAAACCAATTTATAAATAAAAACGCTTATATCTTAAGTCAAGCCCCCCATCCCCGCTTCCCAAACTGTTAAGCTATCTATAAATTCACTAGCGATTACAAAACGTTTAACAAATCCCTGTGTACC